AAAAAAAAAAAAAAAAAAAAAAAAAAGAAAGAAAAGAAAACCCTGGAAATGCTGCTCCTTGGAATGGGGTGTGGAGGACTGAAGAGGCCCCAGAGGACCTCAGGGTCCCTGGTGTGCTGCTTCAGTGCTCTCCTCAAAGCAGGGGCTTGGCTTGAGCTGTACCCCACACCCAGCCTCTTCCTGCTGTTTGCTCCTGCCGTGCCCACTGGGCCTGAACCCAGTGCCTGCCAGGCGAGTACTCTGCCTCTGAGCTACAGCCCAGCCCATTTTACATTCTGTTCTGAGACATGGTCTCCCATTCTGGGATTAAATTTGCCACCCTCCTGCCTCAGCCTCCCAAGCAGCTGGGATTACAGGTAGAGGTCACTTCTCTGGCCCCAGAGTTAAATTTGGGAAGATGAATGAATGGGGCCAGCTGAAGACCTTTCCCGCTTTCCACTCCCATGTCCTGGAGGAAGAAGAGGGAGCGGGCGGTCCCCGGCCACCAACAGACACCCTCCCTGCTCACTTCAGCTGCAGTCCGATGCCCTCGGAGCACTGGCCTTTGAAAAATACAATTGGTTGGGCAGCTTCTCCCTGACGCCCTCCTTTCACGTCTGCGTTCCAGCGTGCTGACCCCACCACGGTGCCAGTACTTATTCTTGCCTTCATGAGAGGAGGCTCAGCAAGGCTTCCTCAGCCTGTCCTGTGGTCTCGCGGGCGGGCGCAATTCCTTCCTTCCCTGCTTCTTGGGGCAGCTTGCAGCTCTGCCCACCTCCCCTGCTCCGAGGGCAGGAAACAGTGCAGGGAGCAAGGCGGCAGCCAGGGCTGGGTCTCCACCGTGGCTTTGTTTAGTTCCCGAATGAGATCACAGTCAGTGGCATCACTGCTTCCGCTGAGCTGAGCTGGGACAGTGGCTCTGAGAGGCCAAGACCAGACGTGGGAAGGGACGGAGCAGGGCTCCGGGCTGCCACTTCACTTGTCTGCCTGTTTCCTGCTGTCTCGGCCCCTTCTCCCAGCGTGGGATCTTCCTGATCACACTGGTCATCGGTCACTTATTTCACACTATGCTGAGTGCTAGAGTGAAAATGTATACTGTTATAGCAGAGACATCTGTTGTTATTCCAAAACTCCAGGAATATATTTTTTGGTGGTACTGGGGATTGAACCCAGGGCCTTTGCACTGACTAACATTCTCAGTCTTTTCTTTCTTTCTTTTTTGTTGTTGTTGCTGTGGCTGGGACTGTCTCATGTAGTTCAGGCTTCGAACTCACTATGTAGCCCAGGCTGGCCTCAAACTCATAGTGATCCTCCTGCCTCAGCCTCCTGTGCGCTGGGATCACAGGTGTGTGCCACCAGGCCCACTTTCCTGGTCTTTTTTATTTTTTTATGTTGAGACAAGGATCTTGCTAAGTTATCCAGTCTAAGCTTGAATTTCCAGTCCTCCTGCCTCAGCCTCTGAGAGTGGTGGGGTCACAGGTGTGTACCACTATACCTGGCTACATACTTCTTTAGGGTATACAACAGTGGCTGTGAAGTCAGCCAGTTTGTTGATTCTGCAGCCTTCGTAGGTCATACAGCCTTGGGAATTTGCTTAATTTTTGAGCTTCAGAATCATTTATAAAAATGATAATAAGGCCAGGGATTTAGCTCAGTGGTACTGCCTCCTGCTCCGAAAGTGCAAGGTCCTGAGTTTGATCTCCAGTATCAAAAAAAAACAAAACTAAACTAAAAACAAAATGATAAGAATACCTACTTTGTAATGCTGTTGAGAGAGTTGATGATAATACACACAGTGTAATGAATATGACTAACATTGTGTTGTTAATAATACACGCTACTGTTGCAGGGCACGGTTGGGCAGGTCTGTGACCCCAGAGCTCAGGAGGCTGAGGCAGGAGGATCACCACAAGTTCAAGGCCAGCCTGAACTACAGAGTGAGATCCTGTTTCAAAAAAACAAAATAAAACAAATGCACACAACTGTTGTTGTTAAGAGAGATTAGCCACAGGTTGACACACAGTGATGGTGGGGACGTTATCACCAACAACTTCTGGTAAAAAACTGTGCAACACAACCGGAGCAAGAGGAACAATGCAATAGCTTTGCTGTCCTTGGAGACCCTAAGGAACCCTGTAAAACTGTCCCCATCAAAGAGGGGAAGAGTAACACAGCTTCCAGAAACCTGGAGTTAGCAACTCTGTGACCAAGTCCTTTCTGCTATCTTTGCTAAAGGTTGAGGAAAAAAGAGAAGAAAACCTTGAGACACACACAAATTACATAAAATTCAAACTTCAGTACCCAGAAATCCATTTTCTTTTGGAGCGCAACCTGAACATTCATTTCCATA